GGTTTTGTTCCCCACGATCGGACGCAGGGCCCTAAGGGCGACTTGTGGCCTGGAGGTGGTCCGCTTGGCCGGCGACATAGGCGTATATGAGCGGGTTATTGCATTCCTGCCGGCCCAATTTTCGAGTTCCATCGCATAAATTCTTTAGATTTAGTTTTCTCTCATTCCACACTCATATGCATAGACTATGTCAAGAGCAGTTGGTAAAAGCTCTTTCTTGCTAAACCACTGAGGTTCAGACGGGGGTTGAGACTTAAACTTTACCTTGAATTGCTTCTGTGGTCTTCCTTTGCCACCTGTAGAAAAATATCCATGCTCACGCATTTTCTCAACTTCATAGCCTCCGTCCATCGAAGGAGGAAACATAGATGGCCTGTTGGGAAAACCATGACCTTCTACATATGGCAGTAGTTTAGACGTGTGAAAGACAGGGTATGTCTTGAGGTGAGGGGGTACATCTATTTTGTAAGATAGTCCATCAGTATCCCCTATCAGCTTGAGAACTTCCCAGGGTTTGTATTTGATAGGTAGCAGCTTCTGTGATACATTTTCTTCTAAGGAAAATTCTTTAGACTTGACCCAAACAAGATCTCCTTCTTTGAACATTGATGGCCGACGATGTTTGTTAGCCTGTGCAATCATTTGTAGTTGGGCTTTCTGAATATTTTCCTTAAACCACCAGTACCTAGCGGTTGTTAAGGCCCGTGGCTCAGCCTACCGGTAACCCGAACCCTGCCGAGCCTCGAGCTACCAGTAGGTGCATGAAAAAAAATAAAAATAAAAAAAAAAAAACAATAAACAACATTCTTCTAGAAAAGAAAAAAAAACAACGAAGAAAATTGTTGCAGCCCGTTTCTCCCAGCGTGCCAGCAGGGGAGAGAGAGAGAGAGAGAGAGAGAGAGAGAGAGAGAGAGAGAGAGAGAGAGAGAGAGAGAGACTCGGGGGCAGGATCGGGGTGCTCCGCGCAGCCCGTCGAGACTGCTGGAGTCTGTCGGGTATTCTCGAGATACACAAATACAAATCGTGGCGCTGTATCTTTCCATGTTCGAATGGAAGATTCACTCTCGTTTTGCACCTTTCGAGCAGAGCGTAGTGCACCGAGGCTCTCTCTCTCTCTCTCTGAGTGCGTGTTTCGTTTTGAAAACAGCGGGAATGAATCTTCCCTCTGTCCGCGGGAAGATTCATTCTCGTTGTTCACGAAACGAAACGCGCACAGAGAGAGAGAGAGAGAGAGAGAGAGAGAGAGAGAGAGAGAGTCCCGACGCGTTCGTCGGGTAGTGGCGCTGCAAATGCGCCGTCTCTCTCTCTCTCTCTCTCTCT